CCCCAAAACCCCAAAACCCCAAAACCCCAAAACCCCAGATTGATGTAAATTATTGAAAAATAGATTATAGCAATGGGAAACAGTAATATCTGTGGTTGTATTGAAGAGAACAGGAGAGTTCCTATTAAAGAAGGTTCTAAAGCGATGTATATTTTCCAGCAAGGTAAGCCTGACCTGAATCAACATTTTAATTAGAAGTTTGGCTACCTAAGAAGTACCTTATTGGCCTCGTGAGAGACATAAAACTTAAAAAGGGCCCTCTTTGTTTATTGGCGACCAGCTCAGCTGAGATTTTGTAAATTTACTAAAGGATTCATGATATTTATTGAATTTAGCTCGATTTTTAAGAATTTATTTACACATTATCGGTCTAGGCGATGGGCTTTCAAAGTACATGAGCATGAAAGCGGTACGGTTTTCTTTAATTTTGGTAGAGACAAGATGATATTTTACTTCCTGGAAAAAGAAGCGATTATATTATCAAGAATATTGGAGGTTATAATTACCCTTTGATAAACGAAATGGCAGAAAAAGAAATAAGATATCAAATCAGCATGAGGATTAGTCAATTAAATGAAGAGATAAGCGAAAATAGAGCTCTCATTAGGAAAAGTAAAAGGGTAACTACCCCATTTTTATGATCATTGCTAAACTGAAGTCTAGATGATGGATTTTGAAAACAAAGAGAATTTGAAGAAAGAGAAGCAAAATATAGAAATGAAGAGAGATAGACTAAAGGAACTCAAAGGATCTTTATCCAAGATTAAAGAGAGATATCGCCACCATGTAAGAAATTCTAAACAAACTATATCTTTTACGACGATTGATTCATCGATTTGACAACCCCACAGTAAACTTCATTTTGAAGTTTGGCCTTAAAATGTTGCAATTAATAAACATATGGGGACTTCTATAAAAACACTGCCTCCTCTAGAATCTAGCCTGGCTAAAACTCTAAAACCCTTGCCAAGCATTAAGGATTTAGTGCAGATGCAAAGGATTCTTTTGAAATTTCCTGAATAACTTTACTAATTCAACTACTGTATATACTTCAAGAATTCTGCCAAACTCTTAAAATGAATTCGAATATTTATTGCTCAACTACTCTGAATAAGATAAGCCATAGAACTCTTAATGGGCGTTATTCATGAGTCTGTATTTGTGAACTGTATTGCTAATCATGAGACCAGTTTTTTGAAGGTGTTATTATTTTCAATGGTGAACGTTGAGAAAGGGTTTAATGTAATCAAATTTGAGCTAAATTCTGGAATATTGTGGAAGTTTAGTTCATACGAAAGGTTGATTTTCTATGAATTTGATCATTTTGGTAGTTCTTGAGTTAATCTTTATTATGAGTGGGAACAAAGTTGCTTAGTATTGGCTCCTTTACTATTTTAGCAAGCCCTTAAGTTTTCTCTGATATTTTTTAATTAAATTTGCACAAAACAAAAGATCAGTGAAAAATTGTCATTTGGAAAAATTAGATAGTTCTATCGAAAAAAAATGTGATTTTGAGCTTCATGTTGATCTTTATACTCCTATAATATCTAAAGCGAGAAGACAGAAGGATACTTTGCTTCAGCTCTAATAAAAAACAATCTTCTGTATTGTTTCAAACTTTTCTAAAATATTAAACCTACCTTTTCTCATTTCTTAATTTTCCAAGATTTCTCTCAGCTTCCCAATATAGATCAGATATGGTGACAGTACTCATTCTCCATCAGAAAGTTTCCATCAGCCCATTAGAGTGAAAGCCATTCCATCCTTAGAGGGTTTATTAAGGGAAAAGCTTCAAGAGAACCCTCAAGATTTGAAAGACTGTCTCCGATTCGATAGCAAGAACAAACTCATAATGCTCTGCTTCATGTTGAACACTGCTTATGGAGTCTCATTTTTCCATACATTGATGAATTACTTTATTACTTATGAGTGGATCTTACCCAAATTATGTGTACTGAGAATTTGGGGAATAGATCAAAACACCCTTGAACAAGTAAGAGTCCTGCTTTCAGAATATTTACCAAGCGAATTGAAAACTCTTGACCTCAGATGCTCAGCAGACCAGCCTCAGCATTTTAAAATGTTATTGACAGCTTTGAGAGACGAAGGGAATCTTAAAATAAACTCTGTAAATTTAGGATCTTTCAAGTTTATTACACATAAAGTTGATAAACAAAATGAAGGAGAGAACTTAGCCAGAGAAACTATCGAGTACTTTGCTCGTATTTCAGAGAGGCTTGAATTTTCACACTGCCTTTTCCAATGAGATAGCTTCACCCTTGATTCGAACATTGACTACACTTTGGCAACAATAGATTTTAACAGGTGAATCTTCAAGCATAAAAGAAAGATAGAGAAATCACCTATATTGACCTTCATGAAAGCATTTAATAACGACAAATTCTGAGCGATGTTAGAATCTATTAGAATCACAGATGAAACTCTCACAATTGATACAGAGACTATAAGCAAGTCTATCAGCTGGAAATCAGAGGTATTTTTAGATAAAGAAGGGTCAACCCTGCCCTCATTTGGCTAAATTCAAAGATATAATTTTCTTCTAGAAGATTAATTCATGAAATAACTTTTACACTATTCTTTGTATAAAGTTTTTGTGCGAGAGCTCACTTTTTATTCACAATTTCTGGAGGCTAGTGAAGGAAATAGTTCTGAAAATTCATAGATTCGGTTTTGGGCTATCAGAATAGAATTCTTGAAGTGTACAATTGTTCTAAAAACATTAGCACTAAGATATTTATGAAAGCTAATTTTTAAATATTTTTTTACTAGTTTTGATATTTACCAATTTACCTTGAACTATATTTAATAATACCTTTTTCTCAAATTCAATGTTTCCTCTTAGTCTGGGGTTTTGGGGTTTTGGGGTTTTGGGGTTTTGGGGTTTTGGGG